GTGAACTCTGTCCTTCCCTCTGGCAGAAGGTGGTACACATACTTTCCAGGTGAGGTCACTTTGAGGGAGAATCTCATTCAACCCTCTTGGAATTCTGGTATCACTCTGGACTTCCACTCGTGCCTGGAGCAGCTCAAGCTCAGGCTCATAATGGCAGTGCCTTTGACGTAAGGATCAAACAGTCAGTCTTTCTGAGCACTGTGCCCTCTCTCTGGACACTGTCGGTCAGACAGGTCATAAAGTAAGTATGGTATCAAAGAAATAGTGCTGTTCCTTTCAGGTAGCTTGACATTGTAACTCTTTGGTAAATAATTATGACTTCCCTTCTACTTCTGGAGACAGGTGAGGTGTAAAGTGTTATAATGTATCGTTAGAGAGATTTTGAAGGCTCCAAGAAAGGAGAGCTACTTTTGGCTGGGAATCAGGAGACTTAATGAAAAAAGCGGCATTTAAAGTGCAAGTTAAAGAATGGGGGCACTTCATGGGGAAGCAGTGGGGAAAGGGTCCAGGGGATAGAGAGATGGACTGATGTGTTAGGAATGGGAATGGGGGAGATGTGTCCAGAGAGGAATGAGAATTTGACCAGAATCTGGTGTTTCTGACCCCTGGGTGCATATTAGAATCACTTGGGGATCTTCTGGCCCAGCCTGCCTAATTGAATCAGCATATTTTAAAGCAGGGCTTACACCTTAGTGCTTTTGAAAAATTGCCAAGTAGCCAGATGTGGTGATGCACATCTGCAACCCCAGCTACTTGGAAGGTTGAGGCAGGAGGACTGAAAGTTCGAAGTCAGCCTGTGCAACTTAGCTAGGCTCTGTCACAAAATAAAGTGTGTGTAGGGGACGCCAGGGCTGTACCTCAGTGGTAGAGCTCAATCCTTAGTTCTGAAAAAAAAAAAGGGAGAAGAAGAAGAAAAGAGGAAGAAGAGGAAGAAGGGGGGGGGGAGAAAGAAATTAAATAAATAAATCTGCAAGATGATACAAGTAGATGAAGAACATCCTAAACTACAGCCAGCATAGGGGGTTAGGAACAATGTCCTTTTTAATCTTTTTTTTTTTAAACTGGAGATTGAATCCAGGACCTTCACACTGAGGTACATATTCCAGCTGCTTTTTAAAGTTTTAAATTTTTTAATTTTGAAACAGGTTCTCACTAAGTCATTAAATTGCCCAGGCAAACTTTCGATCCTCTTGCCTCCCCGAATGCTGGGATCACAGGCGTGTGCCACCACGCCTGGCTCCTTTTTAATTTTCTTGAAAGCCACATGGCTTATTACTTTCCCCACCAAAGAGAGTGCTATATGGCATAAGAATAAAATATATCTTTAAGCTTTTCTTTGGGAGGAAGAAAAGTATGTTGTCAGATATGTCCGGTGGGGCCAGCCCTGGGCTAGGTGTTTTGTTTTGAGAATTTTGCAAATCCATTGAAATTGTGAGCAGTGTTCTGAGCTGTCAGAAACCCGCAGTTCTGAGATTTTAGTGCTTTTATCTATATAGTTTTTAAAGGTCTTGGCTTTTGAAGACTGAAAATATATTTAAGGGAGAGAGCATCGGTTAGGAAGTCCATTGTGAATTAAGATCCCAGCCTGGGCCAGGGATTTAGCTCAGTGGTTTCGCCACCTGCTGCGCAAATGCAAGGACCCAAGTTCGATCCCCAGTACCCCACCCCACCCCACCCCCCCGCCAAAAGACCCCAGCGTGAGCAACTTAGTCTCAGAATAAGCTCTTGTGGACAGGGCATGTGCCTCTCACCTCTGAGCCTGTTCTTATCCTCAAGCCCACAGGTTTGCTTTGAGAGCTGTGTGAAGTGCACCTCTAGAACACTTGGCAAGGTACCTCGTGTAGGGGGAATATGTTGAACTTTTCAGCTTTCAGCATGTACATATTTGTTCAACTGATTATACCTCTTGCCTGAGTGAGTAGTGAATTTTGCTCGTCTGGTAGGAGGTGTGTGCAGTGATAAAGACGGGTGGCCCAGCCCACACTGCAGAGTCATCTCTCCCTGTGGTGAGTTCATGAATTGAGGTAGACATACAGATGTGTATACCTGTATCAGGCTCTTTAATTCAAGAACTATACTTTTTTTAAAATTAAAAAACAAAAAAATCCCCTTTTAGTACTTCGCAGGGACATAACTTTAACACAAACCACAGATGGCAAATAATATTTGTGTGTACTTTCTTTGACTCTGTCACCCATGAATTTCCTCCCAACTTGCCAGTTCTTGTGTCTGTGAATATGCTATGAAATTTTGTGATACTTCTCAGGTGAATTCCAGCTACTTTGAAGGTTTATATTATACTGGGGGACCTAAGAAATATCTAATTTCAGTCTATTCTCCAATCTATATAAATAATGTCCTTTTTCACTGAATAAAAGAACATTCCCAGCTTGAGCAAAGAGGCAGGATTAGAATATGGATCTTTAAGGGTACCAGGAAAACTTCCATCACAATCTGTTTTTAAGCATGTTTGTCTGTCATCTCAGCCAGTTATCAGTTGACAAGATTAACCAGTAGCATGCCATTCATTTATTCATTCACGAAGAGCTACTGTGGACTGAACCTAGGGAGTGCTAACCTATACCCCAAATCTTTTTTTATATTTTAATATTGAGACAGGGTCTTACTAAGTTGCCCAGGCTGTCCTTGAACTTGCAATCCTCCCGAGTAGCAGGGCTAACAGGTGTGTGCCATGGTGCGGACCACCCTGAGCATGCTCTTTTAGATTACCAACTTCCCTTGGTCCACAGGTACTGAGACCTTTTCTGAAACAGCACTTGAAAATTCTATTTAACTCGTGTACGTACGTATGTATTCCGGTAGGGATGTGTTCTGACCTCCAGGCAACCAGGAAAACTGCTTATCACGACATATGGAATATTAATGAAATAAAATAGTCTTTATTTTCACGACTTTTCATGAAGTTCACTTGTTTATCTAAAAATTAAGAATTCAATTTAGCAATACTGAAGTTACCTACAAGCGATGGTAAATAGACTCTTGTGTGATGTCGCCACCTAGTGGAGAAATGGTGCAATTCTACTCTGCCCATTGTGTAAAAATTAAAGAAAAAAATTTTAGTTTATTAATTGATCATTACATTTAAAAAGTAAGTATTTTTATTTGCTATTCTGCAGCCACTAAGCTAATTTCTTACTGAATTTAGTTTCAAAATGTATTAATTAGTATTTCATAAGTATTTGTCCATTTGATTGTATCTGCACTGAAGGTCAAGATATTTAACTGGGAAAAATAAATGGCCTATTATAGATTACTTAAAAAATTAATTTCTGAAAATAAAATGCTATTTTTAAGATGGAAATCAAAAGACCTGAGTCTGAAATGATGATTTTAAATTTTAAGTAGGTATTTTCTCTCCTATCTTATTTTGGTCAGTGTTTGACTTATTGTACAAGTCAAGTAACTTTTTAGTACCTCAGTTTTTTCATTTGCAAACTGAAGTTATGTTAATATGAAAAAAATTTTAAGATTTACTGGATAGATGGTTATAGTCCTAGATCATTTGTAGGTACTGAAAACACAATGATCAATAAAACACAGTTCCTAGTATCAGAGAACATGGCCTTCAAAGGAGCCACAAGACCAGTTTTTAAGATAAGACAATAACAGTGGTGCTTCCCGGAGCACACAGGCATAGGAAGGCGCTACTTGAGTAGCCACCTCAGCCTCAGAAGCAGACTTGCAGTCATAGCCTCTGGTGAGGGCTTAAAGGCTGAGAATTAATGAGCAAGGCAGGAGGTGGCTGAGAGAGCCCAAGCCACAACCACCAACATAGACACACAAAATAATCTGAGTGGGGCATTCAACAAAACCAAGATTCTACCACATTCTACAGGGCAGGACCACAAAGAACTCTAGCGCTGCCATATGCCAGAAGGAGGAGAGCCTGAAATATCCTAGACGTTGTGTACTAGGCGGAGGCAAGCTTAGCTTTCCTTTGCATGGTCAAACCTGGCCTCTTAGTTGCTTTCCCAAGAGTGCATGCATTGCATGGGTTTAAAGTCAGCCTACAGGGTGGAACTTTTTGCGAGTTCTAGTTAAAGAATCTTGTCATCTGAACATAAGGCTAATTTAGCTTCTTCCTATACATATCCCTTGTATTTCTCACTTACCTGATTGCTCTGGCTAAAGTTTTGAGCACTATATCGAACAGGAGTGGTGATAGGGAACACTCTTGTCTTGCTCCTGAGTTTAAAGAGAGTGCTTTCAGATTTTTCCATTTAATATGATGTAGGCAGTGAGTTTATCACAAATTGCTTTTATCAGTTTGAGAGAAAGTCCTTCTACACCTATTTTCATCAACCTCTTCAGACCTCTTATAATAATATAAATATTATTATATTTATCAAATAAGTTATGAAGAGGAACATATAGACTTATTAAATGTGAGACCAGTGAAATGGTTGATGCTGCCGAGTCACCTAACCTAGGGGCATTGCGAACAGAACATCAAAATCTGTTATTATTCTAGCCATACTGTAGCAATCAGTGTCTGCCTGATTTTGTTTTTTGGCAGTACTGGGGACTGAACTCAGGACCTAGCACATGCTAGGCAAGTTCTCTGACTCTGAGCTATATCCCCAGCCTTTGTTTTGTTTTGAGATGGGTGTCTTGCATAGCCCAGGCTGGCCTCAAACTTGAGCTCCTCCTGGCTCAGCCTCCAGAATAGCCGAGCCCACAGGCCTATGCCACTAAACCCAGATAATACTTGCCTTTTAATTTAAAATTTTCTTTTTGAATTGTTGGTAATGGTGAGTGTATTTACTTTGTTTGGTGGCTTATCGTGAGAACAAGGACTTTTGCTAAAACACAATTGTTACATTTTTAAACTAAGTATTTTTTGCAAAGTTTATACTTCATATTTATTTAACAACATATCAATTTCTAGCTGCAAGGAAATTAACCTTTCTCTTTAAACTTTAAATACCCTGTAAAAACTTGGTGATGTCCTTTAATGCATACAATTTTTATCTTCACAGGTACAGGCTGGTCCCACAGGTTTATTTTCCTGAGCAAATTCACGACGTGGTCCGTGCTACAAAGTACTTCCTGCAGCCCGAGGTCTTGCAGAAGTATAAGGTAGATCCCAGCAGGATTGGAGTTTCTGGTGACAGTGCTGGTGGAAACTTGGCCGCTGCCCTTGGACAACAGGTGATACCTCTGGCCTCTAGTGCCCTCTAGTGCTGAGAGAGTGTGTGGTTCCACCCTGCAGAGGAACTTGTTCTCCATTAGATGTGGCAAACATACTGGGCCGCCTACTAGCTACACAGTCAAGTTATTTTATTTTGAGACAGGGTCTCACTAAATTCACCAGACTGGCCCCAAACTTAGGATCCTCCTGCCTCAGCGTCATCAGTAACTGGGATTACAAGCATGTACCACCATCCCCATCAGGAAGATAGATCACTGAAGGAAGCATCCTGAATCCTGGAGTCCTCAATTCCAATCCTTGTTAGAGATGTTCTCATCTTAGAGGACTCCCTTGCTCCTCAGGGAGAGCCGTGAAAATTAACACCACCTACTCCTTCCATCTTTGATTTGCAAAATGAGCTGTTTTTTGCTTAAATTTCATTTTCTATGATTGTCTTCTTAGAACTTTGAGACAAATTAGCGTTTCTCATAGCTTTTTTAATATAAAAAGGAAAAAATATCAATTTTCAGCTATTTTAGAGGTCAAATTACACATAGTGATCTGAGTTTTACCTTGCTAAATTCTATGAAAACCGTGTTTAGCTCTAATAGCACCTAATATTTTGGGCAGCTGTCCAAACTCAAAGATAAGCACGTTTTCATCCTCTTCTAGATTAAGTAACATAAGAATAGCATCTCTGCCTTTCCACCTCCAAATTTCTTTTGGCATTTTTAAATAGCATCTTCCATTTTATTTGTGGCATACTTCGAAGGTTTTTTTCCCTCCTTTGCTTTATTAATTATTAGCTAATGTAATAATTATTAGCTAACAATAATTAAAGAACTTGATTCTGTGTGATAGGATCACATTTGCTACTCTTGTGTCCAAACATAGGCTTGGAGCAGGGCAAACCTGGGGTCTAACCCAGGCCACTCTGGGGTGATACACGGTAGGGGTGGCACCTGTCACTCTCTGAGCCTTCGGAAAAATGACCATAATGTGCCCAACTGCAGTGCTGTTGTGAGGACTTGGTGTGGTGCATATTCCTGAGTGTTTCCTTTTGCTTTTTTTTTTTTTTTTTCTGCGGTGCTGAAGCTCGAACCCGGGGTTCCGCCCCAGCCCACGAGGGCTTTACGTCACTCATCATTCGTGGGGTTTTTTTTTTTTTTTTT